ATCCTAAACAACTTAGACAGGGTTTGCCGGACTGTCTCTCCGTTGGTTCAAAGCCCTGGAAAATCGACAATAATCACCAGCCATTGTGTTCCTAATGTACTGGCCTTGTGATACCTCAACCGGAGCCAATACCACAATGATTGGACTTTCAATTGATTCTCTTGTAGGCACCAATCACTCTCACTCTGCCGTCATTCCAAATGAGAATCTAACTGGCAGAATTTTGGTCATATTACTAATTTGGCATCGCCAGAATGATTTTTGAACATTTTACTTACAATATTTCATCAATGAGAAAAACCTGTGTTGACATTTTAGCTTTACGATGCGAATGAATAAAGACAACTGTTTCCATTTAAATTTTGTGAGATTCCCTTGATCTTATATTTAACCAATTGCCAGTACAAGCAGTTAAATGCATTTTATAACATCAGCTGTCGACAATTCAATAACTCCAAGTTCATCGCTCGAGTTGAATAAATAATAAACGAAATATTTTTTCTCTTATATGAATGCTGAAATTCTTTCAGCACACATTAGCATAAGCATGCAATAAGCTGCTCTTCTAAAGGCGTCTGTCCTCCTGGTGGCATTTATCATTAACGACAACTTCAACAAAACGACTTAGCCAAGAGACAAGTGGAATTTATTTAATAAAAACAGCAGGAAGAAACAAGTGGGTAAATCTCTAAGCAATTAAAAAATTCTCGGAACGTTAGACTTGCCGTAAATTGCTTTGACTCGTTGGCGTTTCCAGCTCTTAACGTTGTGTGGATTTTATCGTTTGAAGTTGCACTTTTCCGTCAGGAGTCTCGGGATAAAAGAAACCACCACAAAACCTCGGCTCCAGAACAATGGCTCCTCTGCTCAGTGTTTAGGTCTTCACGTTTTCTGCAGACCGACGCTGTCTTCTTTAGCTCTAGTCTTCCACTCGTACTGATGTCGCCAGAATGGCTTGGATTTCTGCAGAGCTAAAACAACATTAACTAATAGACAACAACATCAAGGTCTTTAACAATTAATTCGTTTGCGTGTTTGACATTATTATGATATTTTAGCGGAGCTGAAAGCAGGGGATGAATAACCTCAATGAAAATGCGTATAAGTAGAATTTGGCATTAGTTGTGGTATTAAACTAATGTGTTACCCAAATTAATAGCTAACAAATTTTAGAAACTAGCGTAGCATCATAATTATTATCATGCGAATTTCATAGACACTACAGTATTTACGTCTCAATTTTTCCGAACATTCTCCCTATTTCTATCACGCTAAAAAACGGATAAAATCATATCCTACAATTCACTTACGCAGTTCTGCCTTCGATCAATTCTTTGATTACAAAAGCCGATTTTTCGAGAAATTGGCTTTTTCACTATTCCTTGCTACAAAAAACAACTCGGTTTTCAAGTGTGGAAATCCCTGTGGAAAAGCGGACTGGAGCTCTAGTGTTGTCGTTGGGTCCCGAAGGGAGAGACGACCCAAGGCAAGTCGAGGCGCTGCCAAAACTCAAAAGTCTGTCTCGACGAGCGCAGGTAAATGAATGGCGCGGTCTCCAGTCGACTCAGGTAGTCTGCTTCCCAGACTAAAAGTGAGAGAAATGTTTCGTTGCGCAGTCTCAGCTCAAGTATTTTCTCATGGTGAGCTCGGCTGCCAACGCGATCAGGCTTTTTGCTCGATCATTTTATCTTTCAGAGGGGAGAGATAACTTCAAACGAAGTCGTACGTTACCACAGAAAAAGGCTTGTCTTGCTCATTTGAAGGCAAACATTTGTATGTAGATGCATATGACGGTTATACTGATTTGTCTTGATTTACTTGTTTTCAGGCGCTCAATTAGGGCAATTTTTCCAAGTATTATGACGAATCTAAGAAAATCAATATCCTTGCAATCTATTCCTCAGATAAATTTAACCGCTATACTCCGTCAGAACTCAGACGCCCAATTTCCTGACCAAATTTTTCTTTCATCGTCATCCAAAAAAGGGGCTGGCGCGACTCATTTGCAGCATGGGCTTGCCGGAGAAAAAATGAAGTGGAATTGAAAAATAGCTCCCGAAGACACTTTCCGTTTGACAAACGACACTTGAGCAAGAAATGGCTACAAGAAACCAAAATGAACAGGCCCCTTGAGGCGCTGTATCGGACGACGCATTTGCTTCCAGTGAAGCGTCGAGTTCTGGTCGCAGCCTCGAGCTTCATGTAGTTAAGACCTTAGTAAGCTCTCGAGTGAGAGCTGCAAACGCGGCAGTAACACATTAAAGAATTTATTTACTTTAACTAAACAAAAATTTGTTGTTTTTGTTGTAATTGAGGTTCTCGGTTAATAAATTTTGGTGCTACGTTGAGAGGCCGCGGGATCTCTCATAAGAATTCGAATGAGGTAGGCTCTGAATTTGTAACAGGTGTATAATTTGTTTATTTATTTTTAATTATGGAAGGATTTTAGAGCTACTGAAAGTTTTGTTTTGTTCAAATTATGCGTACGGGATAGTAATTTTTTACCGCTGTGACGCTGAAATCAATGTTTTGGTAACTTTTGATGTTAGGTGCGAGAAGAAAATTTGCAATATTAATATTAATTTTAAATGATTGCCAAACAATACATGAATGAAATTTATGAGAAATATCAGTGCTAATTAGCATAGAACAAATTGCGCATTGATTTTAGTTCATGATATTTCTAATCGCGGATAAATTTTAGAAGATATTGTTCCATCTTTCAAATACAACGAATTACGTTGTTCAATATCGCGTTTTTTAAACATTATTCTAATTTGATAGAATTTCACCATCTGTTCAATGAAAATGTACCCTACATATAAAAATTTCTTTTACAGGCCTCTCTCAGAACTTTAGTTCAGAATTCGTTACCATGTTGGAAGCCTGAGCTATTATTTACAATGAGAGACTTTGGCAGTTAAGAAAGACTTTGATCTAATACCGAGCGCAGTCGGATGACATCGTCCTACTAAAGCCAAGTCTCTTCCAGCGGAAATTCTGGTATATTCGCTTTAAAAAAATTGATACCAGGGATGGTCTAACGTAAACAGCTGGAGAGACTCTCGACGTTGATGGAAGAGCCCCACTCGAGCCTTCTACTCGTCTTTTCGATTATGATCCTCAAGAATTTTTGGGGTTTAATGAGGTGACTAATTAGTGTTTGAATAGATAAATCACTGATAAATTATGAAATAAGGATTTGGGAGAAACCAGGTATAGGAAGTAGATTGATGGGATTGAACACATAATTGTTCACTGTAGAGATAGCTGAATTTGATGGATTAAAATGAAAATAATCCCTTAATTGATAGGTTTTACAACAATTGTGATGGCTTTCATTGAATTTTAAAATAAATTTTAGTGCAAGTAATAAATTTGAACAAATAATAATCTACATAACACTTTACAGAAATATTAAATTTTCACACCTTGAATAATTTCAAGTTAGGAAAACTATTTTAGCTTTATTGGCTTCTCCATTCCAAACCCAAATGTTTAGCGATTTATATCGTTCAAATATCACCGAGGCTTACAAAGTATCATATTCAGGGATGATTCATTGCATTTTTAGGCTAATATTTGAGAGAAAAGAACAGATTTACGACAGGCAAGTGGAAGGATGTCTTCGGCAAGTTTTCTTTGGTAAGCACGCAGCGCTGCGCCGGAGTCGACAGCCTCCCGTCTTTGTTTTGCTAACCAACAAATTCCTGATTGTTCGGTGTTGCTTCTACACCTGAAAAGTCCGTAGATAACAACGAATGCTGGTGTCATAACATTGCTTCTGAAGCGCCCTTGTGGGTGTCATGCGAAATTGCCTCGCCATGGAATTTATTGAATTCCTGTAGCGAGACTCCTAAATTAAGTAATCAAAATAGACGGATCAATTGTTTTAAATATAGCATTCCAGAAATAGATTGAATATTTCTTGAACTAGTGAGATTCTATATGATGCCGTTGTATTTCCCTGTCAAGGGAATATCCGCACGTAAAGTTGTTCTGTAATAAACTCGAAAAATTTACATCGATGTTTGCTTTAAGTTGTTCAAACATCAATACATTAATGCTAACAACTAACAAAGTTTCCTAGTTTATTATTAACTCCCACCATTTATCGATTCTCTCTCCTTGCCACCCAACAATCTTTATGGCGGGATGTGCGCTCTTGAGACAGCGCAGGCTGGCAATGGCCTCTGTATTGCCTTCAAGATATTTTGGCCGAAGAAATTCTGTCTCCTCGGAAGAAGGTGTCTCGCTTTGGGGCGATACAAGTGTTTTGTAGACAGATTTGCTGCTAGGATCTTCCGAGATTTGCAGCGAATGAGAAGCACCAGGTGGCCCATCTGATCAACCGATGAGATCGAACAAATGCCCGCACCAAAATAATAACATCGTATTTTTTAAATTGATGCCAGTGTTAGAAGAATTGGGAGAGAATTTAAATTTTTTTGTCGACACTTGTGTAACAGAAGTGAATTATGTATTATGTCTACGTATTACTACTTATTATGTTTATTCTGGTCCTGCACCTACAGTAATAAACGTGGTTGATTTGCTATTACTTCTTAAAACAATACTTTTTTTATTTCACATTTTAATTTCTTATTTCTCACTGAGTTGTAAATTATATGTTTTATCCTCATACCTTTCCAATCTAGTGGTTTTGTATGCAATATATGTTGCCTATTAGTAATATCAAGTGGAAAGTAGATAAATAGTAAGCATTCTAAGGAAGGTAACCGGTGATTAAAAGTGAAAAATACCAACTTGGAAATAAAATTTACATACATGATTAAATGTAGCTGTTTTACGTTACATCAACTTATTTTTTTATTATCACTTTAACTTCTTGAAGAAGACTACCCTCTGTTTTGGACACTAAGACATTGCGCCTTGATTCAAACAGGTAATGCTGAATTCTCAAATGTTATCTTAGATTTACCTTGAAAAACTCTGAATCAAACACATGCCTCACATCCTCCTTTTTTGTTCTCGTGCAGACGGTGCTGGGGGAATTCTCATCGGAGCTCTACGCCAGCACCGGCGGTAGAGCCTCCCTGAGTCAGGTTACTGTGGCCCTACCGCGCACCTGGGGAGATGACCTATCTTCTTGCGCTTTAATGCAACCGTTGACATCAGTCGCTCCTCCCGTCAGGCCTCATGTCTCCATCACTAAACCCCATCCAGTTTTTGGTAACAGGCCATGGGCTCAGCAAACTCAAGGCTGTGGTAAGCCTGGAGATAGAATATACGTGGGAGCAGATCTCCTCAATTCTGCATCGAACGACACACATTCTTACACTGCACGACTCCTGCTCGCAGAGTGGGCTAAATTCAGATGGGGAATATTTGAGGAGCGCGGGCACTATGGAGATGCGTTATATCCTCCTCTATACCGAGACCCTACTACTCATCGTCTGCGTCCCAACGAATGTTCTGACCCAACACAAAATCAAGTTCCGTTTTGTAGTTCTAAGCAACACGTGCCTGAAGCTCCCACGAAACACAACGCCCTCTGTGGAGGGAGACCTGCGTGGGACATCATCACGCAATCTGATGATTTTTCTACTGAAAAGTGAGTAACTGTTAGATTTAGACTTGCTGTAACGGCAAGGCTCATGAAAATGTTAATTAAGGTTCTTCAGTATAGATTGAATCTTAAAATGTACTATTCTTTGCTCCCTTTCTAAAGCTAGATTATACCTATGGCTCAAATCTTGTTCCAAAAAAGAGGCTTTTTTTTAGAACAAATGAATGATAATATTAATAATTGATTCCGTTTTGCGAGTGTGATTTGGTGTTGCTAATAATATAATAAAATAGATATTGTGAAGAAGGCAGCAATGTGTCTGCATGCGAGGTAATTTCGTTGTGTCTCTCTCTTTTTGCAGGAATCTCGCTCGTAACTTGACAGGCCATCTCGCACCCTCATTCCGCTTCGTGCAGGAAAGTTCCCCTCGCTTCGTGCTCGCTGTGGAAGACACTGCAATCATGAATATGCAGCGACGCTGGGAATTTGTTCGCAAGGCAGTTAGGAGAGTCGCTGTCTATGACATCCCCGACGGAGCTCATGTAGCATTAGTGGTGTTTAATTCTGTTGCTCGAACAGTAGCACCACTATCCAAAATGGACTCAGTATCTGATGTGCGCCAACGAGTTGGTTCTTCATTGCCTCGAAACCCCTCAACTGTACCTGAAAGTCACAAGTGCGTTTTGTGCGGCTTGCAAGAAGCGTTGCGAGCACTCGACAGTGACTCCATTGGAGCAGCTGGAGCAAACATCATCTTGATAACAACTGGAGCTGGAGCCGCCACACATCACCAAATGGACGAAATGATTCGTTTGGTGCAGTCCCGAAGAGTTCGTGTCACGCCGATATTGTACCCACTCACTGAGAGGCCCGGCACCGCTTCATCATCAGCATCGCAAAGTCTGGAGTCGTTGGTGTTGGCGAGCGGTGGAAGCACACGAACGTTCACTGTCATGGACGAAGGGGTGGGCAATGACTCTAAGGTGAGCATGCTAGTGGCACTGATGGATGCACTGCTGGCCGCAGTGCGAGTCAGCGGTCCGGTCGATGCAGTTGACACTCCAGTCATTGTAGAAAGCACAGCTTACCCAGGAGGAATTGCCTCAATGTCTAGTGGATCATTTACTCTAGATGATTCATTGGGCCCTGACGTTCGATTCTCAGTTTACTACTACGACCTCAACCACGTCGGAAACGCCATTCAACTCACGACTCCCACTGGCCAAGTCATGTCGTCGGTGAATATGCAAGAAGAAGACGGAGATGCAAATGTTATTTTCGTGAACATTCCTAAGGCTGAGCGAGGAATTTGGCGTTACAAGGTAGAAAATCGAGCAGATTCTCACCAGGGGCTTCACGTTCAAGTCGCTGCCTGGCCGAGCAAAAACAGAAATGTCAATGTCCGTGTATGGACGAGTAACGATGGAGCAGAATTGAATCCATCTGATCCTGCTCAACCGATCATTCTTTTCGCTGAAGTTAGGGATGGAGATTACCCTATACTGAATGCCCATGTTGTGGCTAAACTTCAGAGGCTGGGCACTAACACAACAGGCAGTGGCTACAAGCCTACTTTTATTGAACTCTTCGACAAAGGAATTGGAGGTGAGTATTTTGAAAAATTCACTTATTGCAGTAAATATCGAAGCCGTCATTTTTTGCATTACAAAAAAAGAGTTGTCTATTGTTAAAGTTTTTGTGTAGTTTTTCGCTCTTCTAACGATTTGAATTTTAATTTGACCTGTCTTTCAATTCGTATATATGACAAAAACTGAAAGTTGCAATTAGGGATAAAAAGAAAATACATTTTACTCTCAAATGTTCAATTTGACCAAATTTCCTGTTAATTTTTTCCAGATCCTGATATCACGTCAGGCGATGGTGTGTACTCCAGATACCTCCCACAAATGCTGCTTTTCCCCGGGCACTACGAACTCACAGTTACAGCCACCCACAACAACGGCCTTGCCCAAGTGCCAGCCGCTGACACTCTGGGTCGCCGGGCCCGAATGGAAGGTGATCACGAAGTGCGTAAATGTTGCGGCAGTGTCATTGCTTACAAGCACGTTAAACCTGTTGCGCCTTTTAACCGCCAAGTTCCTTACGGAGTAATCAGCGTGGTGCACGATGCCTCTGAGAGGGACATTTTCCCCCCATCTCGCATCCTTGATCTACGCGCTCAGTTGAACGAAACAACGAGGTTAGTCACCCTGAAGTGGACAGCTCCTGGGGATGACTATGATTGGGGTAGAGCCAATTTTTATGAAGCAGTCATAGCAGACAGCTATGCTCAAGCTAAAGCAATGGACGGAGAACAAATACCTGGGCTCCCAACACCCAATACTGTTCCCACGGAGCAAGTTATGACTTTTGAGGTTAAGAAGTACGATCAGATGATTTATATCGCTGTTCGAGCGATTGACTCAGCTAGCAATCGAGGTGGCGTCAGTAATGTAGCAACTTTGCTTGTTCCTCAGCCTCCAACAACTCCTCCTCCTCCAATGACTTTCCCGTCGAATGCTCATCCAAGTGCCTCTACAGAACCAAGAGGTCGTGGAGTTACGCAACCCATTCGCTTAGCAGGATTGGCCCTTGAAGACATTGCCGTGATTGGAGGCGTTGTTGGCGGATTTATTGTCATCATTGCCATTTTTGCGATTGTGTGTGTCTTGCACTTGAAGCGACGTAGGAAGCACTCCAACAAGAAAGAGGTTGCTCACCGGGTGGAAGCTAATCGTAACGTTATGGTTAAAAGCAATTCGGCTGTCGTTATCGACCATGAAGATAGTCATGATTCCGCAGACAGCACCGTTAAAGACGCGGAGGCTCTTAAGCCTGTGCGGCCATTATCACCTGTACAATCTTGGGCAGCTTCGAAGCTTTTAGCAGAACACGAGAGGCGGTTTTCCGTCACGAGTGGCCCTGTCATGCCTAATCCAAACCATGCCATGGAATACAACGCCTCCATGCACGATCCTTTTCCCGACGTTACCTTGACAGGTACTCATTCTTACCCCAGTTCTCAGACTCCTTCCACTACGCATTCAGATCCTCCTGCGTACCAGCAATCCTTCACAGAAGGCTATGCTCCGTATCCATACCAATACGCCACAGGATACAGCCACGAAGACCTGCCTCCGTACACCCCTGGTCTTTCCTCACAATCTTCCCAAGCATCAACCGCATACGCTCACGAGGTTCCGCAGCCGGCAATGGGAGAAGGCGCATACCCGGCTGAGCTGCACCCGTTCCATCCCAGTGACATGCCAGCCTTTGTTTCTGATAACTATAACTCGGCCCAAGCCCATATGTACGCCCCATACCCAGACAATCCCAACTTGAGGCCCATGGTCCCCGCACGAACCAAAGTCCCTCCTCCAGTGGCCCCAAAACCCCAGGGTTCCCGCGCCCCCGTCCCTCCTGTTGTCCCCACCACCTCGTCTAATGGGGCCATGGGGTCGCCGAGCAGCATGGGTGAACCTAAACGTCGCAACGTAACGCAGGTGTAAAAAACTTTTTATTTTTATTTGTGGCTATGAGTCACGTACGTGCATATCTCTTCTTACATAAGGTATAAATATTTTCCCAGCGCCATTCCTCAGCGGCTTCAAATAATTTAGCAAAATTTAATTTTTTACTGCAACACATAAACATAACAACCCTTCAATAATTGGCAAATTTTGTAACGTAAAAAAAGCTTTTATTCGAGTACATAAATAGAGATAAAATCAGAAATTCATCGGTTTTGAGAATCACTAAGATTATTTATAGTCTAGCCTCTATGCTGTTGAAGGCTGAAGCATATCATTGGCTTAGACGTATAACTTTAAACCAGTCGCGTATAGAAAATCATGTGTTAGAGCATTCTGTGTCCTAAGCAGTTATAACTCAGTGTCTGTGGTACTATATAAATGTTTCCATTTATTCGCTGGAAAATAATGCTGTATCTAATGTTGAAGATTACAGCAAAATTGCGGCGCGTCGTGTAGCGTTAACATTCGTGTAGAAAATGTGTGTAAAAATTTATGTATATATGGAACGCATAACCACTTCTTCAAGTGCTATCCAGTATTACTGACGAAGAGTTGTCAATGTTATAATTGCTGTTGTTATGTAGTTGAGTGTAAACAACCGCGTTACTTGGCCTTCCATTAATGATTCTTGTTAGGATTCTCACATTTAAATAATATTTGTTACATTTATTCTGGGTTAAATTTTAGCTTGAAAAGCCCCTGAGTTCAGACAATACAATTTTTAAGATTGAATTTAATTAAAAATTTATCTTCTTTGATATCTATACGAGCTTCGTGTGCCTGTACAGATTATGTCCATTGTACGGGTTTCAAATTGTTTCATTGTGTTTCTAAATGCAATCATGTACATTTATTTTGGCGAATGATAAAAACTATCAACAGTCGTGGCTGCGCTGTTGAATCGAATGTAAATAATTGATGTTGAATAAATGAAATTAAAGCTTTGCTCATCACTAGTCAGCTGAGCGGCCTCTTGACGTGTGTTCGATCTCGTCTCTCGACGCCCAACGAAAATACCTTTTAATTAACTGATTTTTTGACATAAATTACGACTAAGGTTTCAGGGGCTTGGAATTATTTGATTTAAGGATTGAAGATACAATTTCAAAATGCAATCTCGGCTACAGTTTATTTTAAAAATTTCCAATGTGGAATGTCGGTTAGTTTTATGAAACATTCGTAAAACCATTGCTTCGGAAAAATCACGAATAAGTTTTATTTTGGCTCAAATTATTTTGTCTGCATATGAAATGCGATTCATAATAAAACAGTAACTAATTTCATCAAATTTTGAAACCCAATCGCCACTAGACAGGTTCTCTTCATTCCGTTAAAAATACGTTCTTATATTCAGCTTTGGAAGTTGATTAAATAGTGACACCAGTAAATTTACAGATTAATATTATAAAATTTGAAGGCGGTTGGTAGATTTGATAGACGATCAATTAATATTCGCCATTGCATCGCATCTAAAATTGTGTGAATAATGGTAGCAGTTTAGGCTTATTGTTGGTCTCTCGTCCCAATTGCTGCAACCTAAAGTGAATGCTCAAGAAATTTGTTAAGTCCCAATAACTTAAGATAAACAAGTGTTACTGTAAAGTTAGAATTACGCTGTCGCCTCCCTCTCTAGTTGCTGTGTTTTGCACGCCGATATTTTTCTATCAAAGTCGCCAGTCGAAATTTCGGAAACATTTCTTTTGTATTCATTACGCTTCTAAAGATACGGTACAATTAACTGAATTATAGTATTAATTAATGATTTCATTGTACTAATTCATGGACGACACGATATAAGATTACGTCAGCTTTATTAAACTTTCCAAATTGATATTCAAGTTTTCAGGGAAACAAACATCAATGCTTGAATCAATTCAGTTCTTTACTGACATTCTATATAATTAAGTGAATCTCTACGGATCAAAGTATGCCTAGAAAACTTAATAATCGTTCATAAAAAAATGCAAATAAATGTTTTGCCCTAGATTGCAAGTCAGAGAATTTGGTTTCGTCTGATTACTTGAATTTTATTCTCGAAATAAAAATTGCCGAGTTGTACGAAGTGAGTACTTAGCTTTTTCTTATAATATCCGGAACTTTAATCGAACTTATGACTGGCGACAGGCAGATGAGACTTCCCACGATACGCGTTACTTTCTATACAATATAATAATAATGGACTGCATATTGTGAGCAGCGCCACACCAGCTCTCTGGCAAGACGCAAGAATTGCTATGGACAATAAATGAATCGTTTTAAGTGTAGACATTCTCATAAACAATAATATTCATGGTAAATGATAACGCTTGCATTGTAAGTAATTATAAATAATTATAAAATGTTGATGATAGATGTTAATATCTGTTCGTCTGATCTCATATAATGGGGGTTCGGGGGACATCTGTGATAATTGAGAATTAACTTGACGAGGGGCGGCTAAGCTCGTCACCGTAGGTGTGTTAGACCTAAACATTTTGTTAGACCTAAAGACAATCAATGTCGGCTGCGTTGTCTGCACTCAGTGTACAAGCTTACAAACCTTCCTCACGTCAAAAATTTTTCCCGAAGCCCTTTAAATGTTCTTCGATGTGAGACATTCATTTAATCTTTAGCTGGTTTGTAAAATCCATTTTTTAGTAATGTACGGAAATTTCATTAAGATTTTGTATAAAAGAAATTTATGTCTGTTTTACATTTGATTGGGTGCAGTGTCCGCAAGAATCTGATTGTATCATTTAATTCAATGCAAACTGTACTTTGGATCATGTTTTCAATTCGTATGTGTCCTGAATTATACGGTCTACAAATTTTCTTACATCGAGAAAATTTTTTTGAATTTGGACGTAGATCAAGTCCACATATGATGTAAAGTATACATCATGTATACTAAACAATGTATACTTAGTGTACATTGTATACTCATGTTAGATACGGGCATTAAATGAAGATGGAAAGACGGAATCCTCGATCCTCTCACGGTGATCATATCATGTTTCTATTAGGTTTTTTAAACCAGCTCTACTTCCCGGCCTGTAACATAACTTATATTCCCGGGAGCCAGAATCTGTTTCCTTTGAGTATAAAATATAAAATCTTTATGTTACGCAATATTTTATTTCACCTATAATTTTTTCATCTTCAATTTCTGATTGGAAAGAAACAAAATAATAGGTTATTTTTGCTTGCGTGATTTTTTTGAAAAATATTTACCGGTAATATGACCAAGGACAACAGGAAGATGTTTGAGTTTCTTATCTTCGAATGAAGAGGATATTAAACACATTGAAGGAATAAAAAGTTCGCAATATTGAGGATAAGTGCGTACTTGTTCATAATTTTCAAAAGAAAACTAAATAATTTCAAATTCTGATTTAAATTTATTTGATGTTTTCGTAGCAATTAACGAAAAAACATTTCAAAAGGAGAACTTTTGACACGAATTATCACTATGCATTAAGGAAGTAGGGTTTGAATGCAATTAAGATTGTAAATTCATTTATTTGATTCAGAAGTTTCATTCGCTTCAACTTGTGCCTCCTCGACATTATACACGGCGTTTTTCTCAAAATTTCAATTCAAAATTGCACTACTATGATCGTTATCCATAAGTAACAGCACGGAATTACATCAAGAAAAAAACAATCCACTTAATAGAATTACACGCGCGTTCTGGCAAGAAGCAAACTGTCATGGGGCAGAGCGCTTTGATTGCATCAAAGTGCTCTTTCCGAACAGCTTATAATAACATCGGAAAGTTTTTTATTGCCTACTGGATATTGCCGCAAACGCCGCAGCCACTTTGTGCTCTTGGTCCTTTTTTCGTTGATTATTTTCTTCTAAGAAAGCTGAGCACGTATACGTCTTCAGAATAGAAGGACTGGGATGAGCATCATACATTGTTCGATGAGTAAGAAAAACGCATAGGTTATAGTCATATATAATGGAAGCTATCTATTGGACTTTGATGAAATTTGATTGAAGTAATTCCATGTATGCTACGATGCCAAGTTACAGATGCGGAATAATGGAATTTGTTCTACAAATCTTAAATTACATTACATTTTTTACACACAAAAAATAATTAGCATTTTTCATCGTTGAAAAAACTTGCGGAGTATTACACATATGGTATAAGACCAATGAATGATCCTCTGTTGTCTCAAAATGCCTTGATTTCTAACAAAAACAACGTATGTGAAGAAAAAAGTAACTAAGGGAAATATCTAATGAGATACGGCATACCCGAGAATAAATAAATGATGTGCGAATGAAACAAGCAGCGTGTGCGCTGGGGTATCTATCATCTTTAATATTGACGCTTGTTGCACCTGCGATGCAACGAGAATATAATGAGAACTCCGCGAGTAATATGATCGGTTTTCCATACACTTTTCCAAAAGTAGTTCATTCATAACAAATTTTCTGTTACGACTGTTGTCCTAAGTCTCGTCTGATGATCCCAATTTTACAAGACTCTGAAAAACGAAATTTTCAGTTAATTTTAAGATTACTTTTAGGTAGTTTTTTATGGTACTTCTAGGTAATGTTTTAGGGAAATTGGTAATTTTTAGGGCATTTCTTGAAGCCTTATAAGCATGCTGAAAGAGTCAAAGTATAGAGTATAAGCATGCCATCCATAGGAATGGCTCTCTATTAAGGCAATGGGAACTGTAATCTCTTATTCCAGTTATTCAGTCCATAGTTGGTTAGTTAACCATCCCATACGATGATTTTCACGTTTCCTGCCAATTTAATTAACACAAAGGCGTGGCCAATGAAACTTTGGTAACACATAAAATTTGATTCCAATAAACAGAAACAAATGTTCGCTAAAACAGGCCTCAAGCCACAGCCACGGTCATGGCCACATTTATGTGCTTAATGCCGCAGGCTGAAGATATTTTGCATCTAGATTTGCAAAAAATGAATATACCATACGTATAGTAATAAATCCTAGTAAAATTTATCAGACAAGATAGCCTAATAATATGACGATAAATATGTCAAGCGTCTCCACGCTGTACCATACAGGACAGCTTCTGGACCAAAATTAATATGCGGTGACGGCGCGATGCTGAAACAAATGCTACACGAGATGCGTCTAAACTGCGGCTACAGGAACTATGAACTTTGAGTATTTGAAAATCATCTTCTGCTGAACCACTATTTCCGGCACCTTGCACTATCTGCGTTTAAAGTAAAGTCTTATACTGTTTTTCTTTTGCCAATTATTGCTGAACATTTTGTCTGTTTTCATGCTGAACATTTTGTCTGTTTCACCTCTAATAAGCTTTGAGCTCCAATAAACGATTTCGTATTGATTGCAGATTTCAAAGTGATGAAATAAATCTACGGACATTGAAACCAAAATTATATTTATTTTGTGGCATTGTTTCCGCTACTTTTTTTGTGAATCATTCAGGAAAATTTCAAGGCAAACTATGCTATGATATGCGTATACGAAAGTAGTTAATTATAAAGGAAAACTTTAGAATAACAGAATCATCATTTTACGACATTAATGTCAATTTACTTTCGTTATTTCCTCATCTGCTACGAGGTAACATTCAAAGGGGCAGAATTCTGGCAACGACAGAAATTCTGCCACTGAAAGCGTGCACTGCCACAACATCTGTCAAATTTGCATTTTCTGTCAATTTCTTGTTAGGCATTTGCACGCACGAAATATCGCTC